CTGGCAGCTCGATGACCTGCGGGGACAGACTCGTGCCATCAGCATCTCCCCCGACGGTGACAGAGCCACCCGGGGCCAGCTCTGCACCCCAGTCCCTGGGGCAGGGTGTGGGATAGCCCCCAGGGCGACCCCAAACCCGAGTCTTTCAGGGACTGCCCCCACGCTACGCCAGCTCTGCCCACCCAGGGGCAGCCCAGTCCAGCCAACTGGGCAGCACTGGGCCCCCAGACTCTCCCCAGCACCTCACCTCCTGCACCAGGAAGGTCTCCTGCATGATCTTGGGGCTGAGGGCCCTCAGCCTCTCCATGGTCTCATACTGGCCCTGGCAGGACTTGAGCTTGTCCGAGGAGCCCAGGGTGTGTTTGAGCAGCACGAGGCCCACCCGGAAGATGATCTTCACCCCTGCAAGGGGAGAGGTGAGGCAGCGAGTGCCTGGCAGGACAGGGTGACGCTGCCACTATGTCCCTCAGATACCGTGGGGCACCAGGTCCCGGTCCTGCTAGCAGTCAGGATAGGAAAGAGGGTAGATTTGGGATGCATGTGCCCTCTAACCCCCAGAAAAACAGCCCAGTCTCCACCCCAGGCACACAGCGGCCCCAAACCTGCCCTACAACGGGGCCCATGTGCCAGGCACAGGCAAGCAGCCGCAGCAGCGCTCCTGCGTGCCGCAGCCCGTCGCCTCACGAGGATGAAGAGGGTGGTGGGCAGCTCCTACCTTCACAGAAGAACATGTCCCAGACGCGCAGGACAGAGCTCCAGGGCAGAGTGCGGGAGAAGGCGCACATGAACCACTCCGTCATGTAGAGGATGGGGTCGATTTTCTGCTTGCTCAGGTGCTTGTAGGCCACAGGCGAGACCTTGTGCAGCAGCGAGAAGAGGATCTGCCCGTCCAGCTGAATGGCCTCCTGCAGGGGCAGGGTCGAGAGACCCAGTGAGCACCTTAAGCCTGGCCCCAGCCCACCCACCTCAGAGGAGGACCAGCCCACCACCCTCCAGACCCGGCTACGGGAGCAGAGCTGTGCCCCACCGGCAGCAAAGCTGCGCTGAGCCCCCCGCCATCCCTGACTGCCCGATGCTCCCGGGGGGCCGTGGCACAACACGGAGACTGTGGGAGCACCCAGGATCTCCCCAAGCTCCCTTTTTTCTCTGGGCTGAGGAGCTGGGAGGGCTTTCAGCCTGCAGACATCACGTGCCCCCCCCCCGCCACCATCGCAGGCATGGTGGGCCCTTCACTCACCAGCTTCTCGCTGTAGTAGCCGGGGAGGTACTTCTCGCAGATCTGCACCAGGCACCAGAACGCTTGCTGGAAGCCAAGGGACAGTGAGTGAGCACCCAGGCGTCCCCAGGGGATGTCCCTGCAGCCCCCATCCTGCTCCCGGGGACCACGGGAGCGGGCAGGAGGAGGCAGAGCACATCCGGGGCGAAGGGCACCTCCTTGCACCAGCCGAAATTACCCCAAAGGGTAAATGGGTGCCACGAGCAGAGCACCCTGCCCCGCCAGCACCACACCCTCCCACTGGTCCCAGCTCTCCGGCCACTGGGTCTGCTGGGTCTCCCTGCCCTCCCGGCCACGTGCTCATACCTCAGCTGGCATGTGCATGAGCAGGACAGCGGCGATGGGGGCCTGGGCCTGGCAGTAGCCCTCCTCTGGGCGGTACAGAGTGTATGCCTTCAGCACCCGAAACAGGTCCTGCTGCCTGCAGAGACAGCCCGGGGAGGGAGAGGTGGAGAGAGGGCACGGACGCAGCCCAGCAGCCTCCCCTGCAGACCCGAGCAGGCTGGCCACCGGCCACCACTCTTCCCCCCCGCAAGCTTGGGTCAGTCCTTGGCTGGGATCCCTCTTCCACACAAACCCAGGGCTGTTGGACACGACCACCAGGGCTCTGCTCTGGGAAGTTCTGCCCACGGAGATCCCCATCATCCTGCCTGGATCTGAGAGGCGGGGCAGGGAGACAACTGTCTCCCAGGATGAGCCATATCCAGGCAGGAACTCAGCTGCAAGCAGAGCGGCACAGCCGCTCCCCGACACGTGGGGAACAGCATTTCCCTGGTGAAACAGGCCACAGCCAGACACCTCCTCCCTTTGCCCTCCTGCCATGGCAATTCCCAGCCCGATGGGTGTCAGAGCTGGTGCCGAGGGCTGCGACCTACGCACCACGCTCCTGGGCAGCCATCCTGTTTTCAGCCCATGCCCGGGTGCCCTGTAAGCTGGGGGGGGTGTAAGGACTGCGGGGGGACACCGTGGGGGACAAGTGTGGCTGGGATAGACAGCGCCCACCCCACAGTGCTGGTCCAGCCCGGTGGCTGCCGAGGACTGGACGCGCAGCAGCTCCGCTCACCCGTGGCC